CCTAATTGCACACTTATTGTTATGATGTGTTTAGGCAACATTCAAACAATATATTTCATATTTAAAGAAACATGATTTGGATGGCTACTATTGTACACTTAAGGTTAACTTTACCAGCAAAGTCTGGTGCTAGATCCATGTGACATACAATAAAACCAGCAGAGATGAACCCATTAAACCCCATCGATAAAGCAAACAAAACGCTACTGATGATGTGGTTACATCCGACCATGATTACCCCAAAGAGACACAGTGCCGGTCCGACAAAACCTGGTATTGAAGAAAAATAAATACAACTTATTATTCCAAGATTCTTTATAACAACCACCACATTTGTTATCAAACTTGTTATCAACAACCTCTTCAAAAATCATTCCAAAACGAGGAATAGAAAAACAAAATCGTGGGGAGAAATCATCCCAAACAAAAGTCAATAATATAAGAAATCAAATGCAATACATGTTAAAAAAATTATGTGAAACTGAAAGAGCACTGAATACAATAATTAAAGAAAATTTTAAAAAGAACACCTTATGCATCTGGTCATTTTAAAGAAACCAAACACTTTATATTCGAAAAAAAAAGATTAAAGTTTTACGAAGTGGAAGTTCTACAAACAAAAGAAAAATTTTAAAAGCTTTACTGGACAAAAAATCGAAATCTTCTTTAAAAAAAAAACATCTTGGAAGTCCTAGCTCTCTATCTTTACCAATTTTAATCTATATAATTCTTCCCCACATTTTTTTATGAATAATTACTGCCACCTATATTAAATATATATAATTAAACACTGTCAAGTATGAATACATAATTATTGTTACTTGCACATTGTTTGAAGATTGACTTCGCAGTTTTACTTGCTTAGACAAAATTTTCCCTTTAAATCTGCTTACAATATTAAATTGAAACTATAACTTAGTTATATTTTCGTTATATGGTGTCTTTATTTACCTATAGTATTACAGATTTTTCTGATGATGGTAATTCTTAAATAATTCTTTCTTCTGAGCAAGTCAGCAGAATAACTCCCACACCAACTGAAGACAGCCATAAACAGGTAAGGCAGAGAAGACACAACTCCATTCTGGAACATAAAATAATAATATGTAGAGACAGACGTTTTTAATCAGAGTAGATTAATGTTTCCTTCTATGCCTCATCCACAAATATTATTCAGATTTTTAATAGTTAAAAAAGTCCCCCATATGTGAGATAACGTCTGATATGCAAAACGAATACACTGTTGCGTATCTGTTTGTTTGTTAATTTCCCGTAAAAATTCTTTCCAAGAAACTTCAGCGATTCAAGTCCTTTTTTACCAACAGACTTTGTGAGTAAACTGGATATGTGTATCCTGACAGCCAGGTATTGTGGTTTTAAGTTATTACTCACCAACAGACTTTGTGAGTAAACTGAATATGTGTTGTTACAACAGTGGAAGTTACGTGACTCTGGGAGCATGCGAGATGGAGTTTCTCGAAAGATCATGAATTTGCCCCGCAACTCTAGTCTAATCGAGACGCCCTCTTTTTAGTATATAAGCCTGGCGAGAAATACCAGCGAGATTGAAGAGATAGATAATTGAGTCAAGCGAACTGTAGGCACCGTAAGTAAAGTATGTGAATCACTGTGATTTATAGCGTGTGCTATACAAATTGTTAAGTGTATTACAAAGTTTGTATCGAGAAAGAATAAACTACTTTTAATCAAGAAGTAATAACTTAAAACCACAATACCTGGCTATCAGGATACACATATCCAGTTTACTCACAATGTTTGTTGGTAAGTAATAACTTAAAACCACAATACCTGGCTGTCAGAATACACATATCCAGTTTACTCACAATGTTTGTTGGTAAGTAATAACTTAAAACCACAATATCTGGCTGTCAGGATACACACATCCAGTTTACTCACAAAGTCTGTTGGTAAGTAATAACTTAAAACCACAATACCTGGCTGTCAGGATACACACATCCAGTTTACTCACAAAGTCTGTTGGTAAGTAGTAACTTACAACCACAATACCTGGCTGTCAGGATACACATATCCAGTTTACTCACAAAATCTGTTGGTGAGTAATAACTTAAAATCACGATACCTGGATGTTAGTTTAGCTCAATGTAACATATTTGTTTCATTTTGTTTTGGATATTTGTGCAAAGTTACTCAAGAGCAAGCTGCACCAAATTTCTCTAATGTTTAACTAACAGAGTCGAGAGAAGGCAATTATTAAACAGTAACCCACCGCCAGCTCTTGAGCTGCTTTTGTCTGACTAAAAAGTGATATTCTTCTCTCACCCGTGTAATTTACTCATAGACCATAGTTAATTTTCTATGCGTTAAAGGAACACTAACACCTGAATGGGATGTCCAAATTCGGGAACGTTAGCTATCGAGGCATGCTTGGCCCCGATGTAATGGAATTGTTTTATTTATTGTTTAAAAATTCGGCTTTTATCAGTTTTACTGTATACTAACTTACCTCTTTAATATTGTAATGCAGTATGTTGTTCATATATGATGGCAAGTCGTTAAACAGGATGTAGAATCCCCAGTTGTGACCAAAGTGCGTAAAAACCAAAGCCCACACAGGCACTGAGGTTAGAATGGCCTTCCAAGGAACAGACTGTATCTAAAACAAACATAAACATTAATCATTAACAAGTTTTCATTCAAGCATCAAGGACATGCTGACGGAACAAACTTTATATTCAAATAAGCTACAATCAATTCGTTTAAGCTGCAAAGTTTATGCTATCCATAAGTAATAGAGGCTACAAATAAAATATTTTATAAAAACTATTCAAAGATTCCGAAGATGAAATTAAACCTAAAACTAAAATATCAGAGACAATAGCTGTTTAAAACAGTAAAATGACCTTATTATACAAAAAAATTGTATTAGTTGAAACTAAGTATTCGTTTGCTTTTGTTGGAGGGAGGGGGCAGTATTGTAGGCTATATTTTTAATACTTTAATTTAGATGTTTTTAATTGTTCGTTGAAAGGAGTTTTGGTATAACATACAAGAGTGGCCAGAACAAGATGCAGATTGACTACATCCCAGTCTGAAGGAGGGGGAAAGAAAAAAAGGTGTTGGATGTAAAGGTGATACCAGGAAAAGCATTGGCACACCAACATAGAATGTTGATAATGGAGATGGAGAACCAAGAGAAGTACAGACAGGCAGTAAAACAAAAGAACAAATCAAAACCCTCAGAAATGTAGAATATTACCATAAAGAACTGAAGAAGTGTCTGATTCAAGACATAAAAACTTCCAGCAAAACAAAAGGACACAGACCAAACAGATGGGAACATGATGGTAGAGCAAAAAAGTACAGCAAACCATCAAGGAAAAGAAAGAAGCAAGAAGGAAAGAATAAGGTATACAGAATAGCCAAACAAAGGGAAATGGCAAGGATAGACATTGCAATGATTAAAGTAATTCAGGACAAAGAAGAGAAACTCCTGATGAATGAAGAGGCAGTAAAACAGTACCACAAGGAACTAATTAACACCAAAAATGAAGCAGAATAATTGGATGAGACACCACCAATAACAGGTCTAGGACTGAACGTCAGTAGAGCGGAGGTCAAAGAAGCAATCACAAACATAAAGAGAGACAAGACTGGAGGTCCATCAAAACTTGTCACTGAGATTGTCAAGGCGATAGGAGGTGATGAAGTTGAGTAGTTGAGTATGTATGGACTCTGTTGAAGAACATCTGGAGGGATGAGCTGATACTTGCAGGATGGAAAGAGAGCCTATTAATATCCATCTACAAGCAGAAAGGAGATGCTCTTGAGCATAAAATTATGGAAGAATAAAACTGATGAAGCATCTGCTAAAAATGGAAGAAAAGGTGCTGCAAAAGAGAATAAGGGAAGTTGTAGACATTAAAGAAATGCAGTTTGGGCTTCATCCTGGGAGAGGAACAATATATGCAATCTTCATTCTGCGAAAGTTTCAGGAGAAGTAACTTGAAAGAAACAAGAGGTTATACCATGCATTTGTAGATTTGGAGAAAGCGTATGACAGGTTGCCACGAGAATTAGTATACTGGTGCCTCCAAAAGAGGGAAGTACCCAAAGAGCAGATCAGAGAGAGCCACTTATGAAAGAACGACAACAATCATAAAGATGGTATATGAAGTTAGGGAAATGGAATCAAAGAGAAGACAAAAGAAGCGAGACTGGGGTAGTTCAGTCGCAGGAAGAGAAGAGAAGAAAAGGCAAGGCAATAAGAGGGGCCATTAGTGCTGCCAATAGCCGACAAAAGACAGGGAATGCCAGTAAAGTGTTGAAAGGATAGGATTAAAAAGACATGAATGAGAAAGAATGAATAGAGATTATTAGAGGGACCAACACGTGTGAAGAATGGCGGCCCCTGCTAAGGAGAAAAGCCAATGAAAAAGAAGAAGCATGCATGTTGAGCCTACTTTTTACTTGTTATTTCATGGAATCCAAGATGTGTGTTGGGCCAACCTTTTACTTGTTATTTTATAGAAACCAATATGTGTGTTGGGCCAACCTTTTACTTGTTATTTCAAGGAAATCAACATGTGTGTTGGGCCAACCTTTTACTTGTTATTTCAAGGAAATCAACATGTGTGTTGGGCCTACTTTTTACTTGCTATTTCATGGAACCCAACATGTGTATTGAGTCAACCTTTTACTTGTTATTTCATGCAAATACATATGTGTGTTGGACCTACTTTCTTGTTGCTACTTTCTTGATTCACTTGAATATATAGAAGTTCCGCTGTTGTTATGCTGGGATGGTCAGTGGGTGGTTAGAAGTCAAACAAAGCCAAAACACAGACCAGATACACCCTAACGTTCCTGGGAAGAAAGAAATGTGCTTCTTTCAAGTACTAGCGCTGAGTTGTGGAACATTAATATACTTAAAAACGAAACGAGATGAGAAATAACATTTACAAACGTAAGTTAAAATGTGTATTTTATGATAAGAAAATAAATGAGAAAACAAGAAATCATTCATATAGAAATCAAAACAAAGAAAAGGTGACTGAAAACACACAACATTTCTGAAATGGGAGTTCATCAAGGAGTAAACTTTGTTCAACCTTGCTAACGAAGTAACGAAAAAGTTCGTTCCCCGTTACCAACAGATACCAACCTTAGACTTAAAACAAAAAACCCATGTACCAAATCTGGAGTGAGTTAGTAGCCTATGAACAGTTTGTGTAGTCTCTCCATGTAAAGAAAGTATTATTATCA